CTTAGAGCCGGGTTTTCTCCTCAAAGGAAACCAGGATTTGGATTTTTCTCCGAGCCAAAAAATACACAACGCTGGGTGAGCAAGCCACATAAAGCGAGAGGTGCACACTTTCTTTTCAAACATATTTTCTATAGAAGTGACCACATCCAGGTGCTCATTCAGTTGATTTCTGAGGAGGCGCACAAAGGTTATACAGTGCAGCGTTTTCAATGAAGGCCAGTCCTGTGACCTGTATCCCTCTCACTCTACCACATGTTGTCCTGTGACACAAACAAGAGAAAGCATGTTTGAAACTTTGAGACGCCCACACAAACTAGCTAAAACATAAATAAAGTTGCCCTGAAGTCTCTCTACACACACAAACACACACACACACACACACAAACAGTCTCATACGCTTAAAGACCAGTGAGCCAGCAGAGCGATAAGATTAGAGGAAGTACGTGGGTGTGAAATAGCTGTGGTGTGGGACTTTCACGATTCACACAATCTACACTGACTGCAGGCCCTGCTTTTTATTAGAGGCCAAGCTGATGGGAATACCCACACATCCGTATCCTGCAAATCCAAGTCTCAGAATCGAACAGATACAGTACCTCATGCACATATTACAAACCAAAACACATGCATTGATCCTTTACGGCAGGCCTGTTTCAATTACTTTCTTTAAAGGTGCAAAGCAAACGGACATGAAGATTTCCTTTGACCGTAAAGCTTGGAATTTAAATGTGTCAATGTCAATGAATGGTTTTAATTAACAAAGAGAACTAGGATGATGTTTAAAAAAAAATTGCTATTTTAACACCATATTTGATGCAACTTGACAATTCCATACCCCCACTGCATTAACAGTCTGGGATTCACTTCTTGATAAAAAATATCCATTTCTATGCTGAACAAGAAACATGGCTAACTAAAAGCCAACTCATTATTACACTCATCTAAAAATCAAAGAATGCACTGATGAATGGACTGAAACAATCGCTGTTTATGGCTGCATCACTGGTGAGAGGTTTAAACTCTTATGAGAAGAAGTACCTTTTTTATACTTATTTAGTTAGTCTTTATTTTGGGGGTTTTAATGCCTTTACTTAGAGATAGGACAGTAGAGTCAGAAAATTGGGGAGAGAGAGAGAGTGGGGAACGACATTCGGGAAAGGAGCCACAGGTCGGATTTGAACCCGGGACGCCCACTTGGAGGACTATAGCCGCCGCACATGGGGAGGGCACACTAACCAATAGGCTACTGACGCCCCCGATACGTCTTTTGAGCTATTTTTGTCAATAATAAAAGAGCTGTTACCCTTCAGTGGCCTCTGAAGCGCCCTGTACAAGCCTCAGAGACCTCTCCACTACTACATGGAGGTAAGCTGGTCAACTGTTGCTTTTTTCTATAAAAGGGTTGAGGCTGCCAGGTTGGCTCTATTGTCTTCACCTGATACTAATGTTGTTCATGCTTACCCAGCCAGACTTCCTTCATGTAATGTATGGACAATAAAAACTACTATGATCATATATGCTTAATTAATATCACAACAATATACCACATCAGGCAAAGATCTGATTGTTCCCTTCATATATATATATATATATATATATATATATATATATATATATAGTAAGTAAAGATGTGGAGGCTGGACTCTGGTCTCACTGCAGTAACCCTGGGGTTGTGACTTCTGCTCCGGTGCAAACAAAGCCAAACCCAGAAACATCAGTGAACCCATTAACAAAGCCTGCAAACCTGACAAAGCTTTCTTTGTTTCATAATTAATGCAAACGTGATAACCGTGACATTGACGGTTGGGCGGTCCGTACATCAACCTCTCTGACACATGAAAATGAACGCTGCCATTCATCATCGTGCAGGCCTAATGGACCCCATAAGACTGAATTATTAAGCACAACACAAGAGACCTTTTGTGCCAGATTAATGGAGGCATAGAGCACAGCACATTTATTACAGTGATATAGTACAGTTGGTGTGTTATTAGGTTGTTAGCCATACAGAGGGCTGCGACTTCAAACTACTGTGTGAGTTAATGCAACCAGAGGAAAGTTGCCTGTGTTAACAGATGTGTTGTGAATCTGCGTCTCAATCCTTCATCTGCTTTCTACAAATGTTCTACCTCTTTGTGCACCAAGGACTCAATACTTCTGACATCTGTCTAAGTACAGAAACTACACTTTCTGCAAATAAACTATCTACTGCAAAAAAATAAATAACTGGTCTTTTTTCTCTTTCCTATGGGATGTATTTGGTCTCTTATTAGTTTGGTGCATTTGCTGAAAGATGCTCCTAGATGGACTGAGAAGAAGAAAGTGGAGGGGAAAAGAGATTTCTTTTTTAAAAGAGTGTAGTGAGTTTATTCAATCAATCTTATACTCACATAAAGAACAGCACTTTGCGGTGGATTTCAGGGAAGGACAGGGTGGGGGTAGGGAGGGCAGGATGTGGTAGGTAAGAAATAGACCTGAAGAGGAGAAAGAGTCCGAGGAAGAAGACAAGCGGGAGGGGAAAAGAAAAGGATTATAGTTCAAATAAATCACTACTGAACATTTTTGATCACTGAAAAGAAACAGCCTTAAAGAACAAAATCTATAATTAACGTTCATCTCTTTCATTTACTCTTATAATCAGGATGACAAAATGGATTTCATTAAATCATTTCTTATCTTATAAATTCTTAACAACCATTTGATTTAGCTGTAACAAGAAGCTAAGGCAGAATTGGCAGCTACTTTGCAGACACTGCAAAGAGTAAAAGCTGTGATCAAAAATAGCTGTTGTTTTTTTATATGAGTCAATAAAAGCCTGCAGAGTAGCAAAATAGCAGACGTGCTGGGAAAGCCCTCTAAAACAAAAGGAGCTGAAAAGGGTTTTCTCTCAGAGCTGCTGTTCTATTGATTGTGTATTTGTTTATTTGGTTAGAAGGGAGCCACACGATCAAGTTTCCCCTAATTGAGGTCGATTGCAGAACGAAATACGATGCTGCATAAATGAGGTTGCATGATGCTACCTTTCTGCTGGATTTCACATCATAATGCCTCAGTGATTAGATTTGGTGGGTTGTGCATTAGGCCTCGTTTAGGGAAAAAGGAATAAAGAGTGGTTGTTAGTGACATAGACGAACATGAATGCAGGGGAGGGTGCTTGATAAATTGTATCCTAGTGTCATTTAAAATGATTTCCCCACATGATTTAAACCCTCAAAAGACTTGACAAAAGACTAATACTTTATTTAAAATAAAATGATAGCTCTAGAGTTGTGTTTTTCTTTATACAATGGGCACATATGGAAACTCAGTGGACTTTGAAAGTGAACACACCATTGCTAATTTGTAGAAACTTGTAGCCAGTGTAGCTCACTGAGTCACTGTTTCAACGCAACAGAACAAGCTATGCAGACTGCTTAGATTCAGCAGTTTATATTTAGTACTTGTAGAGCAGCTGACTGAGCCGTCTGTCATTCTTGGGTTTTATCCAGAGGGGAAAACTTTAGAGTAAATTAACACGTTTGGTGAGTGTAGTTTAAACTGGAGATTCAGTTTTATGGTTATGTTTTTCAATGCAGAAGACACATGGTCCTTCAGGGTGATGTTGGACTAATGGGTATCCAGACACTTGTCTAATGGGGGGCTATTACTGCCCACATTGCAAGAACTATTCATTTTTTATGAGAGGGGATAGATCTATTGGCGCCTTTTATCAGGGGCATTTACCAGTACTGGTCACATCAGGATTCAGTAAGTATGGTGCAGCCTTTTGGGGCTGATGGGTCATCAAGTAGGGTCGGGGGACTTGCAGGGATCCTTTGAAGGGTAAAAGGCCCAAGTGGTCAATTAAGAAGTTTTACTCAATTACTTTATAGGTGGATATTTTCTCCTTGATTTTCTTTCCTTTCTGATATTATTAGTCACGTTATAACACATATTGAGTGTTTCAATACAATATCTAAATGTCTTCTAAACATTGTTTCACTACCAACTTTTGCTCAAATTAGTTAAAATTAGCTCCTCACAGGGACTCCCTTTTTCTTTCTTTTTTTACACAATATAGTACATTCAGAGCAATAGGCCCACACTTCATTTCACTGCAGTGATATTTGCAATGCAGGAAGTTAGTGTCTGACTGGGTATTTTTATTGATGTGCTTTGTAGTTGAAAAAGGTTGAACCCTTCACATTACTTCAGAAATGAGTAGCTTGATCTTGTGTCACTTTTTTTAGCTGCACTCTAATGATCCAAATAGTCAGTTATAATGGAACAATTTTGTGGATAATGTTTTGGTGCAATGATCAGATTCAGTTTGCACCTATGACACTGACTGTTTTGTAAACTAACGTGTGCCATTTTATCCTTGATATATTATGATGACCGTTTCAGTTACACAAACCATCATAGTCAGATCAAGTCAGTGGATTGGTTATCAGTAGTTCCTCTACCATCAAATTATGAGGCCAAGTTGAGTTTCACAGGCTATACCCATCAACTGTACAAGGATTTCTCACCCTCTCATCTGTGGTTGGCACCCTCCTACATGTTCAGGATTCCCTACCAGATCTTACCAAACATGATGGTGTTATTGATATGAAATAGTTGGGGTAAGTAATACTCTCTAGGCAGGACGGTTCAGGTAAAGCTGACTGTGTGACGTATATGATGGGGACCAGATATCAATCAATCAATCAATCAATCATTTTTTATTTCTATAGCGTCAACTCATAACAAGTGTTATCTCGAGAGACTTTACAAAAAGCAGGTAAAAGACCTTAATCTTTGTCTTTTAACATTACAAAAAAGCAGGTAAAAAGACCTTACTCATTGTTATGTTACAAAGATATGTGGGTTGCACTGACATAAGGAAATCTCATTAAAAATGTCTCCACGTATTAATGAAGCAAGATTATTCATGATTGTCATCACTGCTGCTCCACTCATAATATCATCCTCTGCCACAGCAGACAGGTCTTCGTAGCGGGGGGGCAGCCGCACCTGCTGTCCCGCTCTGCGCTGCAGTGACTGTGCGCACATGATTATCGAACAGCTGGAAGGGAAGCAGACCTGTAACACCTGCACGGGAGACGCAACACAGCGCTTCACTTTTCAATCCCGGGAAGATCCAGAGATGATGCCCCGTCTGCCGGGCGGTGGCAGGACAGCGTGCGTCGGGACGACTGGCACCTTTTTGTCTGCGTGTCTGGTCTCCGCTTGTCAAGCCCTGCGGAGCTGTGGGGAGGTCCAGTGCGGCGATGGCCAGCAGTGCTGTCCACCCATCATCACCGGAAACGGCAGTGCCAGCGCCGCGGTGCGCTGCTGCAAGCTCCCCATACACGTTTTCTTCGACAACGTAGGCTGGTTCACGCGGAAGCTGTCGGGCATTCTGATCCTGTTGCTGCTCTTTGCCATGGGCTACTTCATCCAGCGGATCATCTGCCCGCGGCCCCGCAGGAACCCCAACAATGACCGCAGCGAGGAGCCCTCCCTCTTTCACGGGCACGCATCGGCGTCCCAGGACTCCCTGCTGGACCGCTACCCCGAGTACAGCATCGGAGACTTTGCGTCACCGAACCTGCCAGCCTACGACGAGGTCAAATACTTGCCCACGTACGAGGAGAGCATGCAGGAGATGCACAGGGACCGCTCCGATGATAACTTGCTGTCGGAAAACGAGAGTGGGAGTCGGGGCAGGGGGAGAGCGGCGGGGCCGAGAGCCGGAGAGCAGAGACGGGAAGTCCTGGAGGTGTCAGGACCGCAACACAGCCCAAGGACATCTCGGAACTCTGTCTGATGGAAGACAAGAGATTGGGCAAAGCTACACAGACAATACAGCATTCTTATTTTAATATAATCAGGGTAATTATCTTGCAGAGATATAAACTCAAGTGCAATTATAATCCTGAGTGTTCAGAATAAAAGGGGGAGGCTGAGAAAAAAAGTACGTGTTCAGTCAGATTATAAGGGATTACCCGCCTTTTGTATGCAAATAACTGCGTGGGTGAAGTAAAGGAGATTATAAAAGAAGCGAAGGCGTCTGAAATGTATGCTCTTTGTGTTGGGGACAGCTAATTTGGCTGCGGTACAATCGCATTAAGTTTTACTTCAGCACCTCAATTTTTAAGTGGCACCGTGAAACAGTTATTCTTCTTTCAGGTCTTGATGCTAAATATTCTGCTGGACTTGAATGACCTTCTTTTCTTCCAAGTTTCTTCACTGAATTTGCATACAAAAGAAGGAATATTTAGATTCAGTCTCTCCTCAGTAACCTGAAATGTGGCCTGAGTGAAGGGAGGAGTATCTATTTTAATACCTTCATAGGCTCACTTTTTTTTTTTTTTTTTTTATCAGCCAGCTTTAGAGCCTGTTAATTTAAAGCTTATCACAAACACACTTCATAGGGAGGGGGGGGCAGACAGGAGTGTGTGTTATCAGTGACCTGAACCATGTCTGATACTGCAAAAAAAAAAAAGTCAAGCCAAAGCAGATGGGGACATTTTATTTAAAAAAGAAAGAAAAAGACGCTCTGATCCTGGGAGCCCCATTGCCCGGAGGCTATGTATCAGTGTCTCCAGGGTTCTGAATTTAGGGGGGAAAAAAAACAATGGCAAAGATTAAAGCTCCCATACTGATTGGGTGGAAACTGCCAAGAGACAAAGTTGTATTTGGTTGATAGAATGTCAGACAAGATCACACACTACCTGCTGCCCTGAGCAGATCTAAAAGCTGCACAGCTCAGACAGGGGTGTGACAGTGACAGGAGGCAGACTATAGGGTCTACTTGTGTGTTAACCATTTGTGTGAAACTGTACTCTTTTATTTTCCGATAACTAACTAGGTAAGAAGGTTTACTTGTGCTGCTGCAAACAAAATACCAAGCTGACACTGCTCACACCTCATTCCATCAGGCTTGGATTAGAGCTGTATTTGGTTTTTTTTATGTGTCCATTAAAATGCCTCACTGTGCTAAATTATATTTAAAAAAATGTCTTTACACATTACTTTGGCATTAAATGGGCACGTTGTAAAGAATCACACTTTTGAAATACTCTCTCCAGACAAGGCATGAAGAAATGTAGCAGGCCGAGGAGAAGACAAAAAAAATAAACACCACACAAGAAGAATTTCCATTAGGGCTGTAATGCAATGTTTACTCTTACTAACAAATGGCCTGCAGATTATCATCAAGATTATCTTAACGACTGGTCAATAAAATGAGATTGATTTGTGTCAGCACAGGTCCCCAGAGACTGAGATGAAATCTTAAGGCTGCTTGTTGTGTTTAACCAACAAAATGGTACTTAGAGAACCCTGAAAGAGCCCACAAAGTTTCACATTTTGAAGGGTGGAATCACCTTTTCTTTTTTTTTTTTGCTTAAAAAATATCAAATTGATCATTCAGAATTAAGAATTACGTATGTTGCTAAGAATAGGTGTCAATTTATTTTTCATGAAATCAGCTGATCTACTACTACTTAGGTCTTCAAAGAAATGAAATGGTTCTTTATGAGCACAATCAACATGTTAAATGTAACGGAACTGATTTATTTGAGAAGCTCCAGGTTGGCTATTTTATCCTAAATTATTATTTTTTAAAGCTTTTCAAACGTGTAAGCGCAAGTTGCTACTAAAGCATCAGTATCAGCTGAACACCAAGACATTACATTTAGAGACCTTGAGCTCCTCTAATGGTCCTGCCACTAAAAGTCTGAGCGCGATTGTGGTGGCTTTTGTAATCCAATACTGCTGGACCATGATAGTGAGCACTGATGGCTTTGCTTTCCACAGGGAGCATTGTGGGTAGGTGGAGTTTGCACTTAGAAGCACTAAATCCAAACTTAAAACCACTGATGGTTGAGCGATGCAGAGTGTGTGACCCCTAAGATATGTGAAGCCGTGTATGAGGGCTACTCGTGTGATATGTGACTTGATTTCTGTAAAAGAGGGATTTCAAACATAGCGCAGACTTCTACAGATCCAGGGATCTTTGCCAATGGTCCAGTTATTCTATTGCTCACTGGGCTGGAAAACAGATAAACCATAAAGGTCAAATCAATGAGCATTATCCTCCTCTTAAACTCGCATTCAATCCAGGAAGTGTATTTTTAGAGCAGCAGCGTTGTTTGGCTATCGATCGAACAGATGAAAACTTGCTAGTCAGTGAACATGAGAATACAGCCCTGAGGTTTAATAAAAGATGAGTGTATCTGATCTTTTGTTAATGAGATTGTGTACTGCGTGCATTTCTTTTTGTTAAAGAGAAAGTATTTATACAGACCATAACTCATTTAAATTCTCCATTTCAATGTGTGTGGCCGCTCTCAGCTGTAATGCATGTGTAACCTAACTCCTCACTGATAAGTCTGCTCATAGATGAATGGTGTTTGGTCTGGATGACTGCAGTTTATCACACAGCGAGTAAGCTTAGAAAGGAAGTGCATGGAGAGAGTACAATCAGAGAACAGCGAGTCAGAGAGAGAGAGAGACTTAGGAGAGGAAAATAGGAACCACTAGAGAGAAGTATCCATTGATAGATTTTTCCTGCATCTACCGTTTTCTCCGATGTTTCCACATCTCAAGCCACTCATTTCTAGAGACACCGCCGATCACCTTCTCCTTTATCTCTCCACCACATCCTGATATCGTCTAGCAGTTTTTTTTTTTGGAGAGCCCTGGGATGCATCCTTTCCCTCATTCGTCCCTCTAGGCCCACTAGAGGAGATGGATAGGCTATTACAGTCCACTGATGTACTGGCCCTCTGCCAACCAGGGGGTGGAGCTGCATGGCAAGGAGAAGTTTCACACCTCAGCAGAAAAGGAAATACAAGAATAACTCAAAGAGGAACACATACTGTATATATATTAGACTCTTAAAACTCACGCACATATGCACTTAGAAATACTCCCTGGGTGCAAAGCTGAAAAAAAAAAACATCTGAAAGATACTCTATGGTGTTTGCATAAAACCAGTGAAGCATCATGGCATCTAAAATGACTCAAAAAATAGAGAAAGCAAAGTAAGAAGCTATTTTGACTGAATGTATACAGTGTTTCCATCTTTTTTTTTTTATTACTCATCAGTCACAGGAGGCAAAATATTAAATATAGAATCTGTAAAAATATCTAGACATATAAAAACTCAAAGTCAAAACAATACGTTTGTGTACCTGAACAAGTTCATTTTCAAAATGGAAAAAGAATAACAACTACAGAAATGGACACACTGAAACCACTAAGGAGCTGATATGACAGAAAGGCCATTATGGTGTTGTTGCTGAGATATAAAAATACTCAGAAGTCCAATCATCCAATCACAGTAACAGAACGTAAAAATGTTAGTGTCTTGGTTTTACATTACTCAGCATAAGCAGCAGGATGTAGTGTAACAGTTTCTTCACATCTCCAAATGTCCCCTAAAGTTATGCAGTTGGAGCTTGTTTCTTAAGCACAGACAATCTTCTTTTTCAATGAGGCAGAATCAATCCACCACCAACAGTCACCAAATGTCATAAACACATGGGTCCATTGCTTTAAAGCTGCCGTTTTGGAGAAAAGTCCCTGAACATTAACGCCGCGAGGCCACGCTGCTCCTCACAGACGCATTAGCAGCTTTCTCTCTCTCTTTAGCCAACTCCATCTCTATCTTCGCCTGGATTTTCTCCCAGTCCACCTCGACCTGGCAGAGACATAGGAAGAATAGATAAGAAAAGAAAAAAGCCAAACATTTATTTAATAAGTACTGGATTAACAAGGTAAAGCCACTAGAGCAGTTTAGTAACTAAAAAGGTAGGAATCATGCAGTGCTTCAAAAAAAAAAGTGTGTGCTTTTTTAACACTTTTACTCTACTGATCTTTTTTGCACTAAACATTTTCCAACTAGAGTAAAAAAAAAAGGTGCTAACCCGAGAGAAACAATAATAAAAAGACCCCCTCCGCTGCTAATAAGGTCACTATTGTCACTGCCTAAGTCAATGCAGAGCTCAGACTTACTCCTTCAGCGTACTGCAGGAATCTCTTATTGGTCTCCTTTCTGCCAAATTTCTGCAGAAACTTCTGCCTATAAGCCAGCACGGTGTCCACATGAGTCTTGTGTTTGACTGCCAGCTCCAATGCCCTGCACACAAAATGATAAGATGGGGATAAACTTCAGTACTGTACAGACAAATAGGCTTCAGCTTCACTCTCGCACACATATTCAAACACAACCCAGAGTTGTACCTCTCCCAGTTGAAGAGGTCGATGTTGACCCTTATGGTCTGGTAGATGAGACCAGCTTGCAACAGAGTGGCCTCGGCCTCCTGGACCTGACCGCTGAACATCAGCATGTGGGCCAAAGCGGACTCCTTAGACGGCAGCTCCTCTATAAAGTTGATGTACTGAACTTTGGGCAACTGAAAAAAAAAAAAAACAGAAATTGCAGAAATAAGAAAGTGCTTTTCGGGTACTCAAAGACACAGTATATAGGGAATAGAGAGTGTGTATATATATATATATATATATATATATATATATATATATACATATACTCAAAGACACTGTATATAGTAAAAAGTTAAAGTTAGCAGAAAGTCAGTCCTAAAAAGAAAAAACATGGACTTGTACAAAAGTAATGCCACTCAAGCAACACTTATGGGCCTACATTGACCGTGTCTGCAGAGACCCTGTCCTCTGCCTGTATTTTAATGTTTTGTTTTGTTTTGGTGGACTCGGGACGTTTCTGTGCGCGGAGCTGGTGTGTTTCCACCCAGCCAATGACTGAGTTAGTTTAGCAGTGGCTACAGTACAGCGATCGGTTGCAATTCAAACCGGCGTATGTGACTTGGATGTTTTATTGTTTATTATAGTTTTATTGTTTATTATGATCCCCATTAGCATTTCATGGCTCCAGCTTTTCATCCCGGGGACCTCATGTAGCGACAAAGAGAAAATACAATCACAGTGAGGCGCAATACCAAGCGGATAAAGCTTGTTCCAAAACGAGGGTGAACCTTGGGTTTAACCCGCGGAGTTGGTCTGCTTTCTGTTCTGTTTCAGATGCCAAACTAGCTTGTGCTAGCTTGCAGTATAGGTATAAGCAGTAAGCGTACACTATACTGTTGCTCCTGCAGTGAATGTGTGCTTCTGGGGGCGAGGAGCACAGGAGGAAGTGCCCAGATTAAATGTTGTGTTTTTAAGCTGCAACCAACAATACTACTGACTCTACCTTTAAAAGATCAAAACAACTTAGTATAGGAAAAAACTAACAAATATAGCAACATTACACACAGGTAAAATAAACAAATTAAAAAGAGAGTACAATGACACAAGCTTGTCTAAAAAAGGGGGGGTCCGGAGCAATGATTTGAATGAAGACGGGTTAGTTAGTGCAGTCTTGAATATGCTTCAAGAATGAGTTCTATAGGGAAGGGGCAGCTATGGAGAAGGCTCTGTCCCCCCAGGTTCAGTGATAGGTTCTGAGTTGAGGAGACACTCGGAAGACCGGAGGCTACGGGAAGGGAAGGGAAGGACTGTGACGGTGGAGGAGGTCAGTGAGGTCGGAGGGGTCCTAGTGGTTGAGAGCTTCGTGAGTGAGGAGAAGGATTTTGAAGTGGATACTGTAAGGGACAAGGAGCCAGTGGAGATTATGAAGGACAGGGGTGATGTTGTCACAGGAGCGGTTGTGGGTGAGCAGTCGTGCAGCAGAGTTCTGGAAGTATTTGAGATCTATTTATGACTTTGAATGATTTTCCATAAAGGATGCTTTTGCAGTAGTCGAGTCTGGATGTGATAAAGGCAGGGACAAGTGTTTCAGCTACAGAGAATGGCAGTAACGGCGGAGGCGGGCTATGCTTTCAAGGTAGGAGAAGGGGGTTGTAGTGAGCTGGGTGACTAGTTGATCAAAGGAGCGGTTGCTGCCAAAATTGCCAGAAATGATTCTAAGATTGTGGGGAAGGCGGAGAAGGAGATAAGGTGGAGTTGACAATTGTGAGGCTGAAGTTTTGAGTGGATTTGGGGACGATGATTATCATGTCTGACTTGTCATAGTTCAGTGTGATGGTTAAGAGGGGAGCGGGTTGCTGTGGTATTACCTCTCCAATAGCAGCATAAGCCACCTTAGCAGTCTTCAGCTCCCTGTTTGACATCGCCATACCAGCGAGACATGCCCACAAAGATGGTTCCTATAGATACAGGGAGAACAGAGCAGTTAGCGTCTTTAAGAACACATCTCACAGCTGGACACACTGAGCTGGAAACTAGATTTTACATTTGTGTCATCATTTTTCGCCCCACATACGTTTGGTTTAATTTGGAATATTTTAGTATACATTTAACTGTC